TTCGATGTCACATTAGACTAAATTGACTTGAAATTTATAGAATATTTTATCCAAAAACAGCAGAATACACATATTTTTTTCAAGGGCATATAGAATATTCTGCAGAATAGACCAATTTTAGGCAGCAAAATAGGCTTTAATAAATTCAAGAAGATTGAAATATCATCTTTCCTGACCACAATGACATAAAACTAGAAGTCAACTGCAGGAAGAAAACTGGAAAAAACATAAATATGTGGAGACTAAACAACACGTGACTAAACAACCAATAGATCAAAAAGAAAATCAAACGAGAAATTAAAAACTATCTTGAAACAAATGAAAATAAAGATAACTTCAAAATGTGTGGGATGCAACAAAAGCACTTCAAAGGAGATTTTATACAGGCCTACTTCAAGAAACAAGAAAAATCCCCAATACATAATCTAACTCTACACCTAACAGAACTAGAACAAGAAGAAACAAAAATAAAAATCAAAAGATTTTGAAAGACATGAAAAGAAACAAAAATAGAAAATCAACAAAATCTAAAGTCGATTTTTGAACTGATCAGCAAAATTGGCAGACCACATGGAAGGCACAGACCAAGAGACAGGAAGCCTTTGGAGCTGGAGCCCTAAACCGTCACAGTCCCCTGGGCTCGAACCCTCAGCCACATGATTCCTGAGCTGCTGCTAGAGCTCAGGGCAAGGTCAGCTAGAAAAGGAGCTCTTCTGGAGCCAAAGGGAGATTTTTTTTAGCTATTTCTGGCCTATCTCTTCTGTTTCCAGATCTGAATGGTGAGAGATTCCTGTGATAGCATATGTTGCTGTGGCTGCTCCTGTACAGGGTATTTGGAGGTGGAATTCTAGCAGCCCTGGTCAGCACACTGCCACCTCTACAGCCACTCCCAAAGCCAGGAGGGTCTTAGGCTGGAATCTGAGCCACATGGCTCAGTAGCTGTGGTGTCACTGATTGTGACCTCAGGGACCTCTGATGTCGCAATGAGCCTGTGGGCCTGGCCAGCCGGATCCCTGGGCCGGTGCTCACATGATGACATGGCATCGAGGCCAATGGCTGGGTTCCGCCCCTCTGCCATTACATAGGCCAACCTGTGAGTAGCCTGTAGCTTGGATGGTTCACTTGCCCCCTCCTTTCTGGCTGTGGGCTCTGGGGTACCCGGGGACCCTGCCTCTGCAAGCCCTCACCTTGCTGGGACCAGCCTTGCGGGTGGAGGTGGTGGCTCTCATACCAGCACCTTTCTGGGCACTCTAATCCACACCTCAACTGTTGTCATTGCCAGGATTAGGAGAGGCAGCCTGGGTGGCTGGGAAGAACAATCCCAAGTCAGTATGGCAGCGGGATGGCGCCTAGGACAGATGACCAGAGGGCTGGCTCGAACCTCGCAGTGGCCCTCTTGCCCCTGAGAGAAGCAGATTTAGCTGTGTCATTTTGCAAGGTCATTTCCTTGGCTTAGGGATCTGCAGATGGGTATGGGAGACATATGGGGCATCTCACCTCTGCCTCCTTCAGACCTCTCGGTCCTGTGGCGATGCCACTTCCTAGGTCAGTCTTGGTGTGATCATCTCTTCCAACCCTGTCCAGGACTGTCTAAAGCTGTGTGGCTCAGATATCCACCTGGACCCCACCTCTTTCTTTTACTCGCTGTGGGGGTGGAGAACATAGTCAAAGCACTTAGAGTTTCAGAGCCTCAGTTTCCTTACCTAAAAAATGGAGTTGACCATAATCTGTTCTCCTTCAGGAGGAGAGCATTAAAAAAAGGTCATGCCAGACACTTCGGAGGGCCCAGAACTCATGCCTCCTGTCCGTGACACAACCACTGGTCTGGACCAGGGCCCTCACCTGGCTTCTTGGGAGGAAGAGGGCCAGAATCCGTGGCTAGGGATTAGTGACTTGCCTAAGTTTACCTAATAATAAGGGGCTATGGGGCCAGTCCCATGAAAGGGGCTCCAGTGTCCTCATAACAGCTAAGGTCCCATGTCAGAGGCCATGGAGGCCCCACTAGCCAGTACTAGTATAAAGAGCTGCACTTTAAATACATCCCTTACCAGGTGAGCAAATAAGTGGAGAGCTCCCTCCTCCCCGTACCCTGCCACTCAGGGTCTGGAAGACTTCTTGGTGGGACCAAGGGGACAGGTCACAAGCAGGGATGCCAGCATTTCCGGGCCAGGGCTGAGTCCCACTGGGTTCCAGACTTCAAGAGAGCTAGTCTTCCAGAGTCAGAGACCAGGGCAGCCAAGAAGTGAGTGGGGTGTGCTTGGCTCACAGACATGATAGGCTCCCCTAGTTAGCCTTGGACTGGGGTGATCTGTGCCCAGTGAGGCTGCCCAGCCTCTGTCCAGGGCCCGGGCCAGTGTACCAGAGCACTTGGAGCAGGCAGCAACACAGTTGACCCCTCTACCCTGATTCAAGGCAGGGATGCCCTCTGCCCATAGTAGGGATTCCAAGCAGCCCTTGTAGCCCCTCTAAGGGGAGTTTAATGGCCCATTTTTCTATCTCTCCCTTCAGGAGACAAAATTGAATCCTCACCAGAGCAGCCTGGCCCGAGGTCTAGCAGCCTTCTGGGGACCCCAGAACCCCAGACTTGGGAAGGGGAACCTTGTTCACATGTGGCTTCTCTCCAGATTTCACTAAGTTCTTTATTATGCAGAGTTATAATGGAAACTCAGCTGCTGTGAATAGAAAAGGGACTCAAGGGCAGCCTCAGCCTGGGAAAAGGGAGAATGGGCCAGAGGCTGCTGGTCAGACAGGGTAGGATGATGCAGAGTGGTATGAGGGAGAGAAGCAAAGTGGGAGTGTGCATGTGTGTGTGCGCGTGCACATGTGTTTAGAGACACATAGGGTGGAGTGGGTGGAAGCTAATTAGCTTTCACCTTCTCAGCCTGTGTCCTAGCAAGTTTGAACATTTGCAGCCATTGCTGGGGGACAGGCCCAAGTCGGTTTGAGTTCTCCAGAAGCAGCTCCTGGGACGAGCCTGGAAATGCATATACTTTATTTGGGAGCTGCTCCCAGGAGGGGAGTGGGAGAGAGAAAGAAAGGAAAAGAGACATAGGTGTATTGTCACTGCAGTGGGCAACTCTGCCAAGTCCCGTGGTTCCTTAGGGTATGGAGCCATATGTGTTGCTGACCCAGTCAAGGATGAGGTGGCCAGACATTTATCTATAACCCGTCAGTTGTTGGTGAGTTGCTTCTAAGGGTGCCAGCTACCAGGGACCTGCCCTGCCCTGTCTGTAGGCCTGGCACATTTCTGCAACTGGAGAGGTGCTTTCAGGCAGAGTTGCAGACATAGCTGCCAGGTGTAGAGATGGGTGTAGGGTGTGTGCGTGGGGGCACTGACAGCATCTGCACAAGTTCCAGCTGACACCAGGGCCTTGGCCAGCACCTGAGGCCTTCCCCTGGGGGACTTCTCACATGGGGAGTCAGCCCCCACCAGGGCTTCACCTGGCAGCTTGAGACCAAATGTGGAACCTGCCCTGCTGGCCAGTGGTTGGCATTGTCACAACAAGCTTTAAGGCCAATTGTTGATGACACAATGGCTGTTTAGACCACAGTAAAGATATATTAAGACAGCCATTGGCAGGCAAGGGTCAGGTGATTTGACGGCAAATGAAACGCCCATGGTCAGATCTGAACCCAGCTGTTCTCAATCCCAACTTAACTTTATATTCACGGGTATGATTTTAAAAAGACAGAATCACTCATCCACTGCTGGTGAATATGTAAAATGACACAGCCACTCTGAAATATCATTTGGCGGCTCCTTTGAAAACTAAAAATGAGTTTATCATACACCCCAGCCATTGCACTCTTAGGCATATATCCCAGAGAAACAGACTTATTTTCATGCAGAAATGTGTACATCAATATTCATAGCAGCTGTATTCATAATAGCCCCAAACTGAGAATTACCCAAATATCCTTCAGTAGGTGATAGTTAAACAAACTGTGTTATGTCCACACCATGGAATACTACTTAGCCCTGAAAAAGTAAATAACTGTTGATGCACACAACAACTGGGATGTTTCTCAAGGAAATTATGCTGAGAGAAAGAAGCCAGTCTCTTAAGAAGGCCTACTGTGTGATCCCCTCCATATAACTCTGGTATCACATCATTATAGAGATGAGAGCAGATTAGTGGTTGCCAGGGTTAAGGATGGGGTAAAGGGCACATGTGGCTGTGGAGGAGTAGCACGAGGGAGCCTCGCAGGGGCTGTTCAGTTGAGGATCATCTTGATTGTGTTGGTTACATGGAGCTGCACACATGATAAAATTTCATAGAGCTACACCCATACACTCATGTGTACACTATGCATATACACACATATACTTATGCGAACTATACACATACACACATATATACACACATACTCTTACACACTATACACATACATTCATATACACACTATACACATATATATACACACTCGCACTTGTACACATGCACACACTCACAACACACATACACACTCATACACATACATATACATACATACACTCATACAAACACACACTCATGACACATACACACACGTACATTCATATGCACACTATACACACACATACACACTCATACACACATACTCATATACTCACACACTATACACACATACATACACTATACACATATACATTCATACATACTATACACATACATAGGTACATATATATACACACACACTCATACACACATGCCTGCACATACATTCACATGCATGAAAGTGTGCATAACTAGTGCACATGAGTGGGAGAGGAAGCCATGCAGTATGGTGAGGCTGGGGCACAAGGTGACTGGCTGGCATGACCCAGCCCTCACTTAGCCTGAGAGACCTGCAGGGTTGCCCTCCCCTGTCTCCTCTGCAGATGAGGATGAGTGGGAGAGGAAGCCATGTGCCTGGTTCAAGTCTAGACTGGCTCCTCCCACCTCCTCCCCAGTTCTGAAGGGCTCCTCTCATCTTCTAGTCATGGCTGAAAAGTGCACCACAGCTAACGTTCTTCTGTGATGGACACGAGGGCCCCCAAGAAATACCCACAATATAAGAAGAACAGGACTAAGACACAGGAGGAATTTGCCAGGAAGTTTCCATACAGGTACAAGACCCCCTAGGCCCCAAGAGCTAAGTCCTGCCTCCTCTCAGGTTACCCCAGTAATGCATTCTGGGGGTGCATAGGCTGGAGCTGGGAGGGGATATCTGGTCCACAGGGACTTTCCTGAACTGCTATGTGGTCTGTGACAGTCTGGGGTCCACCTTCTTCTCTTCCCATCCCAACCTTAGCTGAGAGCCTCTAGAAAGGTATCCTGAACCATCCCAGAGCCATGGCCGGCCGCTTCCTTCTGAGCCGGTGGCCCTCTCGCCTGAACCATTCATGAACACCTGCCCTGGCTGCAGGTGTGATAGGATCAGGAAAGAGCTAGGGGAGTAGTATGGGAAGACCTGGAGAATTCAGGAACCAGCAGAGACCCGCACGAGTGAACAAGCCAGGGATGGAGTCCTACCCTCAGCGTAGCTAGGAGGGTTCTGGGTAAAATGCAGCAGTCTTAGAGGATTCTGGGTGATTCTTGATTCCCAAAACTCAGCTCAGAGGGAGGGGAGCAGAAGCGGGGAGAAGGAAAGGCCCCATGGACCAGTGAGAACTAATAACTGGGGGGGGAGATCTGCTGGAGGCTGAGACACCTCACCACAGCCCTGGCTACTCAGAGAAAACTGAGCAATGTGGCTCCTAATTTAAAGCCAAATTTCCCCATCCATCAGAAGAGCCACACAGTAGAGGACATGCAGGAAACAGTGACAAAGTCCTGCCTCCAGAGGAACTACTACAGGTCAATATATAGGGGCTGGGCACAACTCAAAGAGGTACTTCACACAACAAGAAAAGCACACAGCCAAACAGAGGTGCCCACCTCAGTAGTCCTGGGGAAACACAAATGAAACCAAACATACAAAATGGGCAAAGAGGGAACGTCAGGTGACGCCCAGGGCTCAGAGCCACATGGGTCCTATGCACTCTGCAGTAGGAAACACCCATCTCTTCTGGAACTCAGTTTGGCCTCTTGTGTCCTTGTAGTTGCCTTCTTGGTGGTTGTCCTCACCCCATCTCAGTGACAGGTGCAATGGGACCCAGGGGAGAGCCTAAGATGCAGGGTTATGCTGCTCACAGGCCACCACAGTGAGCATCCAATGAGCAGTCACCCCTCAAGGGAGGGCAGTGCAACCCGAGCAGCCTGTCTGGCTAAGCCTGTCTTTCTCGGGTGAGGTGTCTGCTTCTTGGAACCTTGGGCCAGCTCTGAACACTGAGCTCACGTGAGGGCTCTGGAAGGAAGGAATGGCCTCTCACACACTCTTCCTCTCTTTCCAGACTCAGATTCAGGTGTCCGCTCTACCCCTGCAGCCCCCTGCAGCTCCCTCTGACTTGAACCTATTTCTCCTGCACCTTCACTCAGGAGCTGAGCTAGCAGAGGGAGTGTTCTCCAAGCTATGCACCTGTGGCAGGCCAGGCTAAATATCTGTCCTAATCTTGCACCTCCATTCTGTCACCAGGCCACAGATGCTGTGAGGCCCAATGAGGCAGATATGTACAGTAGTACAGATGCCTTGGGTTAGAACAAGGGGAGACTGAAACTGGGAGGCTGAGGACACCCTAAGATACCACTTGGCTGTATTGGCTGAGATATGGCTCTGGAGCCAGCTGCTGGACCATATCCCAGCTCTACCCCTTCCTAGCTATGTGACCTGTTACTTGATCTTTCTGTGCCTTAGTTTCCTCATCCATAAAGTGTGTGTAACATGGTTGTGAGTTGACATATGTGTTAATGTTTGTGAAGAACTTGGGGCAGTGTCTAGCAAATAGGAAGTCCCAGAGGAGCAGGAGCTATGGCATGCGTCTGGTGGCTACAGGCCACTTAAAGATGCCAAGAGCCTGTTGTAGGTTCTCTTGGCTGACGGAGCCCAACTCGGAGTCCCTGCAGCCCTGGGAGGTCACGAAGATGAACAGCTCACTGCGGGAGCAGCTGCCACTGCAGAAGATGTTGGTGCCAACAAGATCCATCCCAGTCAGAGGGTAAGTCACAGGCCATAGATTCTGGCAGTCACCACCACCCACTGACCATGCTGCCTTGCTTTCCACCTTGGGTCTGCACAAACGCTCATATCATCCTCTTGGCATGCTCCACTTCACAGTTGAAAAAATTGAGGCCCAGAAAAGAAATACTAAAGTCCAATGGTCCCTCCCACAGCCAGGCAGCTTCCAGGTGAGGCTGCATAGGTCCTTCGGGCAGGACCAGGCCTCACCTGGGGTGGGCCTTGTCTACAGGTGGGGAATCAGGCCTGCGGGGGTGGGAACTTAGTCTCCATCCTTCCACAGAGCAGAGGCAAAGCAGAAGGAGAGTCAGATAGTTTCTGGACTCCATTTAGCCTTCCCTGAGGGTGGAGGCACTGGCAGGGGACCCCACACTGAGCAGCCCTGGGCTGACCACGTGTACCTAAACATGCATACCCACATGCACTCCATGCACAAGGGACACAGATAAATGCTCAGGCATCCTCGGAAAGGCCCATACGTGCAAACACAAAGATGTTCAGACACACACACTCATCCTAGACTAGGACTCATGTTGGCTGTCACTCAGCTAGCACACCAGCTGTTATATACTAAACGGCTTCCATAACCAGTTGAGAGAGAGCTTCCACCCCTACTTCCTTAGCCCCTTCCTCTGACTCCAGTGAATAGAGTTGACACTGGGTATGGCAGGACTCAGGGCGAAGGGCCTGTTTGCTCTAACTAGCTATGCCCTTGACTCTACACACTGTATATCATCTCAGGGAGGTCACGAGATGCTTGCTCAGTCTCCTGAATGAACACTCAGAGAGGCACTATAAACACGCACATACATACACACACACACAAATGCTCACCCTCCTCAGATAGAAACACAGACGAACCCTCACACTAACCTTGGCCTTGGTCCTGGGTCCTAGAGCCTCATTCGACAGCAGACTTTTGCTCTAAACCTCAACTGAAAGGGTAGAGCTGAGCGACTGAGACTGAGATCTGAATGCACAGCTGTCCCTGGGTCTCAGCTTCTACTTCTGCAGCCTGGGATCAGCTTCAGACAAGGGTCCTGTGCAGGCTCATCAGGCTGTGCCTCTGGCCCAGTTCTTCATGCTAGGGCGAGGGGAGATGTTAAGGCCTGTCTCTGGGGAATGGCCCTCCCTCACACCCTGGACTCTTGTCCCTTGTGGCACACCATGCAGCCCCAATACTGGGCTGGAGGGCAGGGTCCAGGAAGAGCTCTCTAGGGTGGTGACAGGGAGCAGAGAGCAGAAGGACAGCGAATGTGTCTGATATCTGCCAGAGGCCATAGGCAGCACAAGGGCAGGCTGAGCTAATCAAATAGGACCCATCACCAGTAGGGAGCCTGCCTTTCCCTGGAGCAAGAGGGGTGGGCAGGGCCTGTGGCTATGTGGGCCTCTGTCATTGGCAGCACCACAGTGGGGAGCAGGTGGGAGAGATGCCCACCCTCCCCCCATCCTCCAAACGCCTACCAGCCCTTCATTGGGGAACTGACCAGTGTGAAGGGGTAGGGTTGCATGTCCAGACCCATGTTTAGCTGTGAGAGAAGACTGACTACAAAAAGGGTGGGTGCTCTGCAGGCCCAGGCTGAGTGGGGGGAGGGCAGTTTTATGTGGGAGACAGGGGAAAGGTGGTCGCATGTTGGAGGGGGGAAAGTGGTCCTATGTGGGAGGGGGAGGGCAGTCCCACATAGGAGGCAGAGAGAAGGCAGTCTCACTGTGGCAGGTGGTAGTACAAGGTTGGTGTCCTTCCTGGAGGTGGTACACTTACAGGTAGGCACATGGATGACACCAGCTGAGTAGGTTGGCCTAGGGGACCACATCCCCAGTGAGGTATGGAACGGCATGAAAAGCACTGGAGGCTTGCTAGGTGACTGGCTTGACTGTCTAGGAGAATGACATCTAGGAGGGTGGCAGAGGAAGTATGCCGGGCTGTGGCAGGTCTGGGCTGGTAGCAGGGTCTTGGTTGTGGCCCTGGCTGACTTCTGTGGACCAACAGGGTTCCCAAAGGTCAACGTGGGGCTTTGTGTGGCTTCTCTAGGCTTGGCGCCCCAGATTTCACACCAGTGTCCAGCTTCCCCCTGCTGCCGCCGCCTCCACTGAGCAACCTGTGGGAACTCAAGCTACTGAGCCACCGCTTCCCTGGGGCCAAGCATCCATACTGCCCTCCCTGGCGCCAATGTTGACCACCCCTCCAGAGCCCACTCCTAGAGCCCTGCTCTGTGAGGCCTCCCTCCCAGCCACCTTACCCTGGCACTTATAACAGAGGTGAACTGTAGTGAGTTGAACAGCCCTGAGGAGATATCCACCTCCTCAGAAATGATGCCAAGTGAATAAAATTTGCAGGTTCAAATCCCATTTCCACTTGGACTAATCATTGCCTTTCTGAGCCTCCATTTTCTCATCTATAAAATGGGATAATAATGTTTAGTCTTGCATGGTTGGTATGAGGATTAAAGAGAGTGTGAATGTCATTTCCAAGAATTTATCCCAAAGATATATTCAGACATGTAAGTAAAGATATATGGAAAACAATATTCACTCCACTTTAGAAAACAGCAAAAAAGTGAAAACTATTAAATATCCATTGATAGGGGACTTTTAAATTATACCACAGCTGCATCCTGAAAGACTAGGCACCCATTAAAATGAAGAAGAAGCTCTTTACATGCTGATCTGGAACAATCTACAAAGTCTATTGAGATATTTTTAACAATGTGTGCCCGATATGCTACCATCTTGTGTATATTAGAAAAAAATGCATGTGCATATATGTGTAGGTGTGCATGTGTGTATGTCTGTGTGCATGTGGATATGTGTATGCATGTGTGTAGATGTGCATATGTGTGTGTGCGTGCATGGATGTGTGGAACAGGTTACCTTTGGATAGAAGACATGGGGAGCTTGGGGACAGGCCTGAGGGAGGCATATATGAACTGAATATATGAACCTAATCCCATACCGTTGGTGTATTACGAATTCTTTAAAGAGAAATAGCATGGACTAAAACAGGCATACTCATGGCCTGCTGAAAAATCAGTGCTGAAAAATCAGAGACTGGTATAACCCCTTTGGCATGTAGAATAACAACACTATGCCTGCTGAAGATGTAGGGTTTTCCTCTTTGTTCTATGATGACAGGGGCTAGAATTTTGTCTTGGAGTCCTTGGGAGGGTAAATAAAATTGGGGACACTAACTGTAGCCTTCTCTCTATAAGAGAGATGGTCATCACCTTGGGGACAATCAGGGTGGCCGCACTTAGTGAGGTGGGCAAGTGGCCCTATTATTCTGAAAAGAAGGTGGAATTAGGTCATTTGAGGAGTAAGGATTGGCAGGGGGCTCTCCCCAGGTCCTAGAGAGGGACTGGACTGCAGTTCCCTGTCTGTAAGAGGCAGAATACAGTTCTGCTGTGTGTTCCTGGAGTGTCTGGGGTCTGGGGAAAGGGCATGATGGACTGTCCAGCAAAAGGCTCCAGGCCCCCTCCCTCCAGGTCTGAAGAGCCCAGGTGAAGAGCAGGCCCAGGGTACGGTGCAGGCCTTTCTGTAGGTGGAGTCCAGCTCCTGGCAGCTGTCTCCTAGGAGAGAGCAGAGACTCCTAATGTCCCTTCCTCTTGAGGTGGAAGCCAGACTGATCTCCATTTGGACTGTGGAAGTCCCAAGGAGTTTTCCTCCAATGTTGAAAGCTATGTCATATTCCATATATGCAAAATACAGTAACATGTCTCTGTGATCCAGCATAATGATGAAGAGATGCATGTGACCGAACTTTACATCTGCCTGGGAGATCTTTCTCCACCTGTCCCCTTCCTCCCCCTAGCCCTAGTTGGCCATATCTCTCCCCTTCCCTTTTAAAAATAGTATCTCAAAACAATACATTGGGTTTTTTTAGTGATCGGATTTGTATCATACTACATGCAACTTTCTTTTCCACTCAACAGCAAGTTGCTAAGAGTCATATGATAGTGCATATAGCTGTTGTTCATTTAATCATTTAATTTTTACTATTTAATAATTTATGATTTGTCCATTCTCTTTCTACTAGACATTTGGTTGTTTCCACTTTTTGCTGTTGTAGGCAATGCTGCTCTGAGCATTCTTGCTCTGTTTCCGGGGCATGTTGTCCCCAGAGAGGAGTTGCTGGCCAGAGGGATCCCGAATACCCACTGTTACCAGCTGGCACCACACTGGTTTCCTTAGCTGTCCCAATGCACATGGCCATGAGCAACTTATAGAGAGAAGCTCCTTTGGATCCACCTCCGAGCTACACTTTGCTATGGCCTGGTATTTAGAAAATGGAGCAGGACATGCAGGGCTCCTCCAGCATGTGTGGCAAAGCCAGCTGTTCCATAGGTAGAAAAAACTCATACTTATTCCCGAATCCAGAATCAAAAAATGTTCATGGTCATCAGTCAAATCCCCTTCAAATTTATTCTAAAGAAAAGGACATGAAGGGAATAAGGAACTACCTGTCGGCTCTGCCATGTGTTGAGTCTTTGTATGTACATGATGTCCTCAAAAAGGGAAACAAACCTTCATGAAGCACATGTTGAGAAATTCCTCACAGAGAAATGGGCAATAACCTAAATGCGTGACAACAAAGACATGGGTTAGCAGTATTCTCTATGCGAAATTATTCCATAAACATTAGACATGATCGTGGGGCCCATATAGCAACATGGGGCATGTTGACCAAGCATTTAAGAGCTGCCATCCAGACTCTCGATTGTCCTCATGCCATGAGCACAGTTATAGCAAAACACAAATTAGCACATGGTTGAAACCTCCTAAGGAATGAGTGGTCAGGGGTCAACCCACCTTCTAGAAAAGTGAATTGCTCATGCTCATGAACCATGTGGAAGAAGGCCATGTCTTAGAGATGGGGGAGCAACAGGAGAAAAGGAGACTGCACTCCTAGTGGTTCTGTGGAGTGGCCGTCCCAGCATCTCTGACCACTTTTCTCTGTATAAGAGGGGACATTTAGTTGAAGTTGCCATTATTGAGCCTTTGTCACAGGCAGCCGCATCTTTATCCTAGTAAAAGAACTGTAGTATCATTGAAAAAGGCAGCACCCTGAGACCTGGACCCACTGACCTCTCGGAGTGTTGTTGGTAACACAATAATCTGAGCAGTTCTGGGCCATGCCTTTACCCAGAGGCCATCCAGCCAGTTGCTGAAACCAGCGAATGCAGTTGGCTGCAATTCTGAAAGTGAATGATGCATGAGGTACTAGGGATTTTATTTTAGCAAAATTTTAAACCATGGAACTATGTCTCCCAAGAAGCTACCTGGATGACAAAGCCAGAAAATAAACTGAAAAATAAAACAAGCAAACGAAAACAAACCAATACCATAACTACAAAAAATCTGGGAAACATTTTCCTGACAAAAAAAGCCAGAAAAAGCAAAAGATGCGCTGAACCTTGTTTTAAACAAGTCTTTGTAACCCTATCCACTTCCATCCTGGGGAAGGTGCCAATCAGTACTACCCAGTTCTGAGAGACTGGAAAACCAGAAAATATAATTTTGAATAAGTTACAATGCCACGTGACCTTCAGTTCATGCTCTTAATCTCTTTTGGAACTGGTTTCAATAAAGAATCACTGGTCTGCAGGGGATGCCAATTAAGAGCCCACCTGGGTGCTCTCATGTCTTTTCCAGTTCTTCTTGTGAAACCCTGTCCTTCTCAGGTCATCTCATGACCCAGCCAGTATCACACCACTGGGCAGCAGGCAGTCAGTCCATGATCTGTGAGGACAGACATGTTCTGGTGCCAGGCAGAGGCGGGGAAAGCTCAGAGGATGGCCAGAGCAAAAGGAATTCCATAAGACCGAAGAGGTGAGAAGAGCAAGAGGTGCCTCCAGTGTGCACAGGCCTAGGGTGTGAGCTCTGCATTCATAGCAGTGTGGAGGTGCAGCTGAGTGTGTGACATGGAGTGCATGTAAACTCAGAGCGCACAGTGACATCCATGTGGGTGGGGCAATGGAGTACCTGCACCGAATGACAGAGTGTGAGTGCGTGTGACAAGTGTCAGCATGCAGGAGGCACTGAGGGGATGATAACCGATGGTGTGATGGCAAAGGGTGACTTCTGATTGTGATGCACCAGGGGGTGTGACATCTGGATTGGGGTTAACTTTCAGTCAAAAAGTCACATTGGAAGCTGCGTGAGTGCTGAATGACTTGGAACAAAGTTGTATGTCCTCAAAGCAGATATGTAACAACCGAGCATAAAGTGGCACGTAACAAACTTGGTGTGTGTGTAGCATCTGAGGGAGTGTGTGGGTAACAGGAGCTTGTAAGAAAGACCATGGCCCCTGGGTGTGCCCATAGGCCCAGCCCCTCCCTCTGTAAACATAGGTAGGCATTGTGGGGCTGTGGTCCAGCATGTCCTGGTAACTGTTCAGTTTTCTGAGCCCCTCATGTGGGGTGAGGCTTCACAGAGAGCCCAGCAGCAGTTGGCCCATGTTGGGAGGACCCATGAACATAGTGGGGGAACTCTGAGAGGGGTCTCCTGAAGGCTTCAGACAGGCTCCTGAGAAGGAGGGATCTGAGTACAAGCCTGCGGAGGGAGAACATTGCAGTCAGGGGAACAGCATTAGCAAAAGCTGGAGCGTGAATGTGGCTGAGCTGCCAGTTACTGGCCAGTCGGTTCCCATAGGCTGGCACAGCATTCATGGGCACTCACCACAGAGTATGGAGGCACCACAGCTGGTTAGGGCTCATCCCAGACAAGCTGCCCTTTCTTGGCTATATTCTCATTCCTGTTTTTTAAAACCTCAAGCATACCCTGCCTGTTCTTCCCAAAGTTCTGGCATTTTTATTTATCATCCAAAGAAACTGAGAAGGACACCATATATTCAACCAGTCACTAAGGGAGAATTCAGTCCCTCCTAAGGAAATTCCATGGCTGGCTATCTCCCCAAAGCTGGAAGGGTGGATCCTCATTGCTAAGCAGCCCAACCAACACAGGCTGCAAACCACACACCCATACATAGGTTGGGGGTGGCCCAAGACACAGGGCTTCACTGAGCTGGTTTGAACTTTAATCTTTGGTCCAGGCAGAATGAATGGTTAGATTTTCCCCATGTTGTCACTGTTTTCCCCCAACCCACAATTTGCCACTTCTAATATGGTGCACCCCCTACATACCCCACTCCCCCTGTAGCCCCTCACACGTGTGAGCTACTGTGAAGGTAGGCCAGGCCCTCCATCTCTCTTATCTTCATAACTACCTGGCATTCTTAGGACATCTAGCAGCAGGGGAAACTGAAGCTCAGTGAAATGCCCCAAATCAGCCCTACCCACAGAGCAAATGGCAAAATGAAGTAGAGAAACTACAAAATGTCAGAAAGTAACAAAACACATTTATTTCAATAACATGGCTCCCCAGCTCACCAAAGTCCTATAAAACCTGCCATCTTATTGCACCCTGGACTCTGTGGGCACACAGAAGCCACCTAGTATCTAGCCAGACTGTGACCAAGGGTGGGGGCAGGGCAAGGCTAGCCACAGGAAAGGTGGCCCTGCTCTGTGACAGGCAGAGTGAAGGCAGCTCATAGCTGGCTCCTGAGCCATGCTCATGGACAAAAATGGCCCCAGCAGGAGTCCAGCATGGGAAGGCTTCTCTCCTCCCCCAGGGCTGTCCTTACCAGAGCAGGTGAGGTAGGGAGGGTACAGGAATGGGCTACAGGCCTCCTTGAGCCGGTATTCTGCTCTGCTGCACCATGGACAGCTTCGAGGACAGCTGACCAAACCAAAAAAGAAAAAGAAAAGTAAAAAAGGCCTCTTTGCAACCTAAAACACTATTATTCAGTCCTCGCCCATCCAGGGACCCTCAAAAAGCATCTGCCCACTAGAACAGTTAGAGGAAGCAAGCATCAAGTGACAAGCAGGATAGGAGGCAGGCACACGAGTGTACAGCACTTGAGGTGGGCTGTATGTACCCCAACCCGGCCAGGGTAGGCCCAGTGCAGTGGTGGAGTCACCGGGGCCCATCAGTAGTGTACAGCACTTGAGGTGGGCTGTATGTACCCCAACCCGGCCAGGTGTGATGTAGGCCCAGTGCAGTGGTGGAGTCACTGGGGCCCATCAGAAAAACCCATTCTTGGGCTCTCCACGCTTGTGCTGGAAGCCTCCGCAGTGTACCAGGCTCTGAAACGGGACTTGCAGGCTAGTGCAGCCGCAGGTAGGAGGGGACGGAGTAGTTGAAGAGCAGAAAGTCCATCCTGTATAGGTTGAAGAGGCGCCGCTGGTAGAAGGGGCTGATGTCCTGGAAGAGGCGTGCGGCCTGGTCGTGCGTGGCAGCAGCCTTGGCCCGGGCCGGTGGCGAAGGGAAGCGCAGACCCGGCGCGCCCACCAGGCTCAGCACGAACGCCGCGTCTTCTGCCAGCGTCTCGAACTTGCCTACGATGTCATAGCGCAGGCCGCAAGGGTGACAGAGCGCGTGGGCGCGCTCCCAGTGTTCGTTGAAGGGTTCGTTGCGGCGCGTACGCGGATCCAGCAGGTAGGCTAGGAACTCCGTGAAGCGCACGTCGTGGCCGCGGGCCAGCGATTCCGGGTGTGGGCGCGGACGCAGGCGCCACACGATGCGCGTGCCATAGCGCCGCTGGAAGGCCGCACTGTAGGGCTGCGAAAACTTGTTGCTGTAGGCCGAGGCCAGGCGCTGGAAGGGCTCGCGCACGAACAGGAAGGCTAGATAGGAGCGAAGGCGCCGGTTGATCTCCGTGGGGCTGAAGTCAGCCAGAGAGGGCAGGCGGCCTGGAGCATGCACCTCGTGCGCGGGAATGGCTCGCGGGTCCCCGCCGAAGCGGCCGCTCAATGCCAACAGCACACGCTTCCAGTTGGTGCAGGCCACCTTGGGCACGTAGCAATAGAGCAGGCCGTGCGCGTCGTCCACAAGCACATGTCGCAGGTCCTCCGGCCGCAGCAGGCGCCGCCGGCGTGTGTGGCGGCTGCAGGCGCGGTGCAGCAGATCACGCCTCTGCCGGTGCACTTCAGCCAAGGCGGAGAGCGGGCCCTGCGGGCGACAGGGGAATAGGTCAGGGATGCTGCCCAGCGTGGAGCGGCCAGGGACATGTGAGATAGGGCTCGGCAGCAGGCAGGGGACCTGGACTGGAACCCCAGCGCTGCCACCGATCACTGTGTGATTTGGGGCCCAGGCGTCTGTCCTGGACGTGGATTTGGGGGATAATGACTCTAACTTAGCAGAGGCATGAGGAAGAATATGACTAGTCACTTGGGCACTCAGAACTGAAGAGGTCCTGTAACGATTAGGACAAAATCACAGTAAACCCGATGAAGAAGTATGACTTCAGAATGCTCACCGCGGGGTGCAACCTGAATATCTGTTTACTAAAAATAGTATAGTACATAAGAATAGTAGCTTCAACTACATATAAATAGAGTTGAAAAATTCAGCCACTTGTAAGCTATTGGGATACTTTTTGTTCAATTAGCTAATTCTGTATTTATGAATTGGTATGTTCCTTTGAGTCTTGATTTTTTCACCCCCACCACCCAACAAATTCTAATCTCAGTGCTCGGTCAGGCAGGAAGCTTACACTCTTTGAGCCTGTCTCTCCTCTGTGAAATAATAACATCCAGCATTTATCTAGCACTTATTGTGCTATCCCCTTTACAACTCTATGAATTAGGTAATTTTAGGATACATGGGCCCAGCCCTCCCCACCCAACCCTATCCAGCCATACCTACACCCAGGCCAACACCTCCAGCAACCCTCCTACCTCCTCCAAGTCCTCTCTGCCCTAAACAGGGTCTCCACCTCTAAAACTAACCCTCCAATATCCCTGTCTTGCTTCTTGGTGGTTTTTGGTCTAAGAGTTATTAGGAGAAAGTGTTTTTAATTTCTCAAAATTGCATTAAAAGCCTTCAGAATATAATAAAAAAAAAAACACAATAAATATTGGTGAGGATGTGGGAAAGTGGAATCTTCACTCATTGCTGGTGAGATATTAAACTCATACAGCTGTCGTTGAAAGCAGTTTGACAGCTCCTCAAAAAAGTAAACATGCTCCAGCAATTCCACTCCTTAGGTATATACCTTAGGTAACTAAAAAACATAATTTACACAGAAACTTGCACTTAAATGTTCACAGCAACATTATTCATAATAGCCAGAGTGTTCACATCCCAAATGTCCATCAACTGATGAATGGATAAATCGTATGTAGTCTATCCATATAATGGAATATTATTCAGCCATAAAAAGGAATGAAATTCTGATGCATGCCAAAACATGGATGAACCTTGAAAAGATTATGCACATTAAATGAAAGAAGCCAGACACAAAAAACTGCATGTATGAGTCCATTTATATGAAATGTCCAGAATAGATCATAAAGACAGAAAGTAGATTAGTGGTTGCCATGGGCTGGAGTTGGGGGAGGGGGCTGGGGAATGTCTGCTAATGGGGACCGGGTTTCTTTTTGGAGTGATGAAAATGTTCTGAAACTAGATGGTGGTGATAGTTGTGTAGTCTTGTAAATATCCTAAAATCACTAAATTGTACACTTTAAAAAGAGTGAAATTTATAGTATATGAGTTATATCTGTTAAAATAAAAAGACTTTAGAATGTTTCCATTTCAGAGTAGGCTAAAGCAATATCTGAAATGGTGGGACACTATATCCAGTGCCCATGTGAGAATATCTGACATTGGTGGGAGGGGGAAGTGTGAAAATATGTGTATGTGTGCATATATGCCTTTAAAAATATCTCACAGACATCAAAGATACTTAAGTGCAAAAAGTTAAAGTGAAGAACAAGACTTAATATGCCACACTTTGGGTTTTAAAAGGGTAGGGAAGGAAATCTAAAATTTTTTCAAAAAGGATGGGTTATGGAGAGTTTCTCTTTTAGATATATGCTGCAATTGTCACAGAATCAACAAGGCTGAGATTTGCTTCAGAATAATACGAGTCAGGGGGCGAGAGGTCAGGATGAAACAAGATTGGACAGGAGTTGATCATTATTCTGACTGGGTGATGGGAATATGGGCATTGGTTGTACTATATTCTCTTTACTTCTGCATATATTTGCATTTTTCAAAATAAAAAGTTAAAATAGAGAGATGACATATGTACCTGTAGGTGAGATTTTTAAAAAGTAACATAAACACATCATAGAGCATTAGATGCTACATGCATGCTTAGAACGTGTCTGGAAAGACATGCAGGGAACCGGTCACTTCCAGGGATACCTGGGGGCCAGTGTGAGAAAGAGCTCTTCACTGTACATACACTCTGGGAGTGTCAAATGCCCTATTATGTGCTTACATTACTTTTTCAAAATCTCACTGTGGGGGGGACTGCCAGGTTCACCCATAGCTGTAGAAGGCCTGAGGGCATTTCCACCCTCTGCGGTACTGTCTCACAGAATTGGCCTCAGGAGCGTAGCTCCATGTGGCTTCCATGAGAGGACCATATCCAGGGGCCCCACAGCCAAGGTCTGCTTTCAGCTTCCAGACAACCCAAGACATTTCTTGTGGCACAGAATGTTGGCCATCGACCCACCTGTCAGTCTCCCTCCTTCCTTGCCAGGAGACCCCAGCTGTGTTAGGCCATGTGCCTGGCCTTAGGGAGGAACCACTCACACCTTCATTAAAGTGATGGGTCCAGTGTTGGGCATGTAGTCTGGCTCTGGCCAAGAAAATGTAAGAGGAAGTCTGCTGAATAGCTCCCAAAAATGACTTTCCTTCAGGAGAAAAAGTGAGGGCTCCTGAAGAAAGAAAACTCTTTGTCCCACCCCACCACCTTTTGCTTAGGATGCTGTCCTGTGAGAAGATGTCAGGGCCCTGGCAGTCATCTTGTAGCCATGAAGCAACAGTCTATAACAGAAGCCAACATCCACAGGATGTTGGTAGGCAGAGTGTTGCTACTGTCCATGGGGATGCCAGTCTCTGAGCATCTTGGGGACTACGCACTGACTGTCCTAATGGCTTAATGTAGACTCAGTTGGCTTTTCTCTTGTTTGAAGTCCCATGAATACCTACACAGTGAATGCTACCTCCATTTTACAGATGAGAACACTGAGGGTCAGAGGAAATGAGTTGTCTACAGCTCTCCAGTAGGGAAGCTGGGTCTCCAGCTCAGGTTCCTTGGGACTCAGAAGCCAGGGCTGTGCCTGATGGTTCGGGGCACATCCGGTAGTGACATTCATCTCTCCTAGGTTGGCTAGACTCAGCTGCCTGGTTCTTTAGCCTGACTCTAGTCCCTATGACCACTGTGATCTTCTCAGGGCCCTTAGCCTTCCTGTGCCTTGGTTTCCTCAACTGTAAATAGGGATAACAACAGTCTCACCTTATAGGGTTGCTGTGAGGACTAGGTAAGTTCACAGAACTAGAGAGCTTGGTACACAGTTAGCACTTGTTGGCCACATTGTTTGTATTACTATTATTTCTCCAGCTGCAAGGTGCTAAACTTCCAGGGCCTTGATACCCCAAAGTCACTGGCTCCTCAGGCTGTGAGAGGGCTGAGCCAGCCCCATCTGCCTCTCAAAAGCCTGTGGAGCTAGTGGAACTTGGGGCCTTGGTGAGAGCCTGGCCTGCCCTTGACTTGCTATGTAGCCCAGGGCAAGCCATTCACCCTCTCTAAAACCAAGGCCAACCTTCCTGCAACCTCAGGGTGTGGACCAGATGAGCTCTACGTGCTCCTCTGGCCTCAGTCCTTGGGGATTCAATGAGCAGCCACTTTCTTAACCCCAGTATGATTATTCTCCCTGGCTTAAAATGCTCCAAGGCTCCCTGTTGCCCTTGCCTCACCTGCTGGGCCACAGCAGGCTACTGCCCACCCCTGGCTCTGCTCGCACACCCTTTTCTGTCCTCTGCTCACCTCCAGGTGCTCAGTCCCTACTGTTTGCTTCTTAACTTCTTCTGTAGATCTTAGCTGCAATGTCTCTTTCTCAGAGAGGGTTCCTCTCCTCCATTTAAACTAGGAGCCTTCTGGTAGAGTTTTCATTTCACTTTGTACTTTCCCTTTAGACATGAATCAGTCACAGGTTAGTGCAGGCGGTGATCATATTATATCTTCCCCCCATGAGACTGTCATCTGTACAAGGGCAGGGACCCAGCTGACCTGCTTATGGCTAGATCCACAGCTTACTGAGCACAGCTTGCATATGGTAGGTACTCAACACATGCTGCCTGAATGGGTGCCTCTGAGTATGCCTGTTTGGGTGTGTGTGAGCCAGGGGTGTGGCTCTCAGTGTGGTACAACCATGTGTGTTTGGGGCAGTGTGTGGTCCCAGTGGAGCCAACATCAGAAGTGGCATTCATGGATCAGCAAGCCACTTGATCCATTGCCTGAGAACAGGAGAGGCAGGGGCTCCCTATATGTTTACCTATTGCAACTGGTACTAAATTTGGGGGTTCACATAATTACTATCTCCCTACTAGACTTTCAACTCCCTGAGGGTAGGCTCACAGTCTCTTTCACTCACTCCCTTTCATATCTGAAACATGTAGAAAAGTGCCTGGCACAGAGTGGCCTCAGTCTATTGTTGGGTGGATGATGGACAGGTGGGGGCTAGTGGAGATCCCAGCTCTCTCAGCTTGCCCCAAGATTTGCCCTTGTCATCACCAAGCAGTCTCATCTCTGGACAGAGCCTGGATTTGCAGAGGAAGCTTCTCTGTGTCCAATGTGGGTTCCAGTCTCATGACAGCAGGTCGACACTGGGGCCCTCAGGTTCCCATTCTGAAGGTAGAATGAGGGGTTCTAGGATGAGGATCTGTCTACCTACCTCATCCAAGTCATAGAGCATCTGCAGGGGACTCCTCTTCTTCTCACCAAGCCAGCCAGAGCCCAGAGCCCTGTTTTTAGATTCTGTGGGAGCACAAAGAGAGAGGTGTCATCACTGTATCAGATGAAATGACTTTGGTTCTGGGAGAAACTTGGCCAGCTCACCTAGAGCACAGTTAATCTATCTCTGAGACTCAGTTTCTCTCCTGTGTCTTAACTGTCTCGGGTGTGTTGGGGTGGGGAGGTGTTCGGTGGAGAGTAGAGCAGCGCTGACAGAGCCCTTAATCCAACAGGGCAGGATGCTTGGTGTCATTCTTGCCCCCATGCTCTGCCCTCCAGAGTTGAAGGGTGCCAGGCAGGAGTGGACAAGAGGGAAGGTGATTCCCAGCCCATAGCTCTCTGGGAAAGGCCTGATCACCTAACTTCATCCATTCCAATCTGCTCCCATCTTATATCCCACCTCTGCTAGCCCAGGAGGGTCCTGAGAGGCTCAACAAGCTATCTGTCCAGCCTCCCCAGATCCTGGGTGTAGGCAGCCAGAAAGGGCTGAGCAAAAGTGGAGGTGGTGCAGCCAAGCTTCAGGCTCTCTGGGGAATGGCTCACAGGTCAAGTGACCCACTATGAACTCCTACAGCAGCCTGTACTTTCCCTGGCAGTGCACATGCCTCTTTATGGTAAATACAGCTTTAGCTGTCTCACAGACTAGACACCTCTGCTGAAATGCTACCTGTCTGTGTCAATGCCCCATTCTTCAATCTTCCTAGAACTACCCAAAAACTTAGCTTGCTAAGTTTATTCTTTTATTCAAAATGTATTTTAAGGATTATCTTCTTAAACATATTCAGTAAGTGTGAATATATTCTTAGTAATACAATCAATATAGATAAGAAAAGTCCAAGACCTTCTTGATCATATTTTTCTTAAATATGACTATACATATTCATAAACTAATAAAGTATATCTTTACAAAATCATCAAAATTGGCAAACCTGTAACTGGATTAATCAAGAAGAAAATAATGAAGAATCAAATACTAAAAACAGGAGTGGAAGAGGAGACATTAGTATTGGAACTTACAGAAATAAGATTATAAAAGCACAAGATGAACAATTGTACAACAGTAAATTAAATAACCTATATGAAATGGAAAAATTCTTAGAAAGACACGAATTCCTAAAAATGACTCAAGCAAAAATAGAAACTCTAACAAATTTATAACAAAAGAGATTGAATTAGTAATTTAAAAAAATTCCCACAGATATAAAGAAGAAGCCATGTTGAGACAGTAGGAGGAGTGGAGTAATGAAACAGGCTGGTCTCACATCCACAGACGGTGGTTAAGAATCAGGAGGGATATCTTGGCTGTAAAGGTCCTCACTGAAGAGCAAGGGGTCCCAGCCCCACATCAGGCTCTTCAGCCCAGGGTTCCAGTGCCAGGAAGAGAAGTCCCCACAAGTTCTGCCTATGAAAACCAGCAGAGATTGTGGCTGAGTGAGATGAGTAACAAGTGTTCCTCTTAAAGGGTCCATGCACAGACTTACTGACAGACTCACTTACTCACTCAGAGCTCCAGCACTGGGGCAGCAGCAGAAAAGGTGCCAGGGATATATGGGGAGGAACTGAGTTGTCTAGTTTCAGGGTGAGGGCTGGAGAGGCAGCTTTCTCCCAGATGGAAGTGCTGGCAGAAGCCATTGTTCTTTTGTTGAGCCCTCCCCTCACCCACCATGCATACACAGGCCATATCTGAGTCTCCATCAATGTAGCTCACTGTATGCCCTGCCCCACCCAACTTGCACACCAGCCCCAAACTCTTGTGGTGGCTGTTGCTCACAAGTATCCAGCTTTGTTCTGTGCTGTGGAATTTCCTAAAATCTCTCAAAGACCCACAAACCCCAAACAAGCAGTAGCTAGCCTCCATCTACCTTATACCTCTTGCTAAGTGGTCCCAAGCCTGGCACTAGTGACAGCCAGCCTGGGTTCCCAGCATAACCTCCCCCAGGTGCCTCCATGCCCAGCACAGGCAGCTACTAACTGAAGATCATTTTGTAGCTTCTAACAGGTGACCTGGGCTGGACACAGACAGTAGCTAACATTGGCCTACAACAGAGACCCTCCGCAGAGGCCTCAGAACTAACAGACCTGGAGGGTGGCTTTAGACCACACCAGAGCATTACCCAATTAGCTCCACAAACAACACACCCAAAGAGTGGACTCGGCAGGCACCAGAGCCCTGCTAAATTGAATCTCACTCTGTGGGGTAGCCCATGAACAACAACTTGTCTGCTGTATTCATGGCCAGTACTCACACCAGTCAGCTTGAGGGTCAATCCCATTCACTGACATTATAGCAACAGTCAAGGCTCAAGTACAACAGAAGGGCACATACAACCTACACAAGAGACACACCTGAAGCGTCTGACTCAGGTGAACCAGGAAACTGTGCCACTGGACCCTATGAGATAACTACTACATAGGCCATTCTGCCAAGACTAGAAGATATAGCAGATCTACATAACACATAGAAATAAACCTGGAGAGGCAGCCAAAATGGGGAGACAAAGAAACATGTCCCAAATGAAAGAACAGACCAAACTCCAGAAAAATAGCTAAATGAAATAAATGGAGACAAACAATCTACCAAATGCAGAGTCTAAAACATTGGTTATAAGGATGTTCAATGAACTTAGAGGAAGAGTAGATGAACTGAATGAGAATTTCATCAAAGAGATTAAAAACAAACAAAAAGAGATAGGAAACATAAGAAAGAAACAGTAAAAATGAAGAATACAATAACTAAAATGAAGAATACATTAGAAGGAATCAACAGTAGATTTGATGAAGCAGAAGACTGAATCATCAATTTGACAGAGAAGGTAGCAGAAAACACCCAATCAGAATGAGAACAAGAAAAAAGAATTTTTAAAATGTGGATAGTTTAAGAGACCTCTGGGACAACATTAGGCACATCAACGTTCACATTATAGGGGTACCAGAAGGAGAAGAGAAAGCAAGGAGTTGAAACCCGATTTGAAGAAATAATGACAGAAAACTTCCCTAGGCTGGCGAAAGAACTAGACATACAAATCCAAGAAATGCAGAGAGTTCCAAATAAGGAAAACTCAAAGAGGACCATGCCAAGATACATCGTAATTAAAATGTCAAAGTTTAAGGACAAAGAGAGACTCTTAAAAGCAGCAAGAGAGAAGCAGTTGGTTACCTATAAGGGAGCTCCTGTAAGACTGTTAGTTGATTTCTCAACAGAAACTTTGCAGGCCAGAAGAGATTGGCACAAAATACTCAATGTGATAAAAACCAAGTCCCTACAACCAAGATTACTCTACCCATTTTTTTCCTAAAACAAACAAACAAACAAACAAACACATAAAAACACACAAACACATGGAGGCTAAATAACATGCTACTAAACAATGAATGAGTTAACAATGAGATCAAGGGAGAAATCAGAAGATACCTTGAGACAAATGAAAATGAAAACACAATGTCCCAAAATCTATGGGACACAGCAAAAGCAGTTCTAAGAGGGAAATTCATAGTAATAGAGGCCAACCTCAAGAAACAAGAAATCTCAAATAAATAATTAACCTTACACATAAAGGAATTAGAAAAAGAACAAACAAAGCCCAAAGTAAGTAGAAGGAAGGAAATAATAAATATCAGAGTGGAAATAAGTGAAATAGAGTCTAAAAAAACAATACAAAAGATCATTGAAACTAAGAGCTGGTTCTTTGAAAAGATAAACAAAATTGATAAACCTTTAACCAGACTCATCAAGAAAAAAAGAGATGATCCAAATAAATAAAATCAGAAATGAAAGAGAAGAAGCAATAACTGACACCACAGAAATACAAAGGATTATAAGAAAATACTATGAGCAATTATATGCCAACAAATTGGACAATCTAAAAGAAATGGATAAATTCCTAGAAACATACCATCTTCCAAGACTGAATCAAGAAGAAACAGAAAATCTAAATGGACTGATTACTACTAACAAAATCAAATAAGTAAGCAAAAAACTCCCAACAAACAAATATCCTGGACCAAATGGCTTCTCAGGTGAATTTTACCGAACATTCAGAGAAGAATTAACACTAATCTTTCTCAAACTATTCCAAAAATTTCAAGAAGAGAGAAGGCTTCCAAGCTCATTTTATAAGGCCAACGTTATCCTGGTTCCAATATCGGAGAAAGACACTACATAAAAAGAAAAGTATAGGCCAATATTCCTTATGAACATAGATGCACAAATCCTCAACACAATATTAGCAAACTGAATTCAGTAATACATTAAAAAGATCATACACCATGATCAAATGGGAATTATTCCTGGGATGCAAGGTTGGTTCAATATTTGCAAATCAATTAACGTGATACACCATATTAACAAACTGAAAGATAAAAATCATGTGATCATATCAATAGATGCAGAAAAAGCATTGACAAAATCCAGTGTTCATTTATGATAAAAACTCTCAGCAAAATGGAAACAGAGGGAACATACCTCAATATAATAAAGGCCATATATGACATTCCCACAGATAACATCATACTCAGTGAAAACCTAAAAACTTTTTCCTTAAGATCAAGAACAAGACAAGGACATCCACTTTCACCACTTTTATTCAACACAGTATTGGAAGCTTTAGTCACAGTAATCAGACAAGAAAAAGAAATAAAAGTTGTCCAAATTCAAAAGGAAGAAATAAAACTCATTATTTTCAGATGACATGACACTATACATAGAAAATTCTAAAGATTCTGCCAAAAAACTGTTAGAACTGATAAATTCGGTAAAGTAACAGGATACAAAATTAATATGCAGAAATCAGTTGTATTTTTATACACCAATAATGAACTATCAGAAAGAGAAAATAAGAAAAACAATCCCATTTATGATTGTATCAAAAAAAATACCTAGGAATACATTTAACCGAGAAGGTAAAAGACCTGTACTAAGAAAACTATGAGACAATGAAGAAAGAAATTGAAGAAGATAGAAATCAATGGAAGCATATACCATGCTAATAGATGGGAAGAATTAACATCATTAAAATGCCCACACT